CCTTCCTCCTGGGCTTCTCCAGACTGATTTTTTGTGTGGTTCTAACTTCTTTTGTTCTTTTCAGAGGGGAGGCAATTGAGTTAAAACTCTAGCTCACTGTTTTGAACTTCAGCCCACACCCCTCCAGCAAATAATCAGCATTCATGTAGCCCAAGTCAAGGAAAGAGAAGTCTTTGTTCAAATCATCCCGCTGTACTTTGGGATTCAGGATAGCACAGAAACCTGGCAAACAGGCTTTTAAGGTAATAGATTTTATTGAATGACACTAAGAGTCTGCCTTCCCCTAGCGTGTGCAGTTTTTTTGTCGCGTCTGCAGGCATCTGTGTGACTCACGTGCCTGAGGGCATGCTGCTGGGAACCGAACCGCCTTCACAGCTGCTCAGCTCAGGGGCACAGGCTCTTCTCTTCTCTGGGGGAGGGCACTGTTTTTGAGTAAGACCTGTCAGGAGTCTGGGGAGTTGAGGACAGATCCGTGTCTGCCCTGTCAGACTTTTAAGTGGGGAACACACCTGTAAGACGTAACTGGCTGAAGCAAATGTGCCAGAATGCCCACATCCAAGTGATTGTTGCTCCTTTCAGAGTTGTCTCTTCAGGAGGCTACACACATGCTCCATTGATGTTCTCACTGCTCAAAATAATGTGGTAAACGACCTCTAGCAGTTTCCATCAGAGCCAGCTTTTCAGCCAAGTGAGAAAATTGTTTTTGAGACATTTTTCATATCCTCGTTTTTGAATACCAAATGTATCCCAAGTAGGGGCAGAGAAAATGACTTCCTGCCCAGGTTCACCTGGCAGACACATCCTTGAGCAAGTTCAGAGTAGAATGAAGGTCACCTTCCTCCTGGGCTTCTCCAGACTGATTTTTTGTGTGGTTCTAACTTCTTTTGTTCTTTTCAGAGGGGAGGCAATTGAGTTAAAACTCTAGCTCACTGTTTTGAACTTCAGCCCACACCCCTCCAGCAAATAATCAGCATTCATGTAGCCCAAGTCAAGGAAAGAGAAGTCTTTGTTCAAATCATCCCGCTGTACTTTGGGATTCAGGATAGCACAGAAACCTGGCAAACAGGCTTTTAAGGTAATAGATTTTATTGAATGACACTAAGAGTCTGCCTTCCCCTAGCGTGTGCAGTTTTTTTGTCGCGTCTGCAGGCATCTGTGTGACTCACGTGCCTGAGGGCATGCTGCTGGGAACCGAACCGCCTTCACAGCTGCTCAGCTCAGGGGCACAGGCTCTTCTCTTCTCTGGGGGAGGGCACTGTTTTTGAGTAAGACCTGTCAGGAGTCTGGGGAGTTGAGGACAGATCCGTGTCTGCCCTGTCAGACTTTTAAGTGGGGAACACACCTGTAAGACGTAACTGGCTGAAGCAAATGTGCCAGAATGCCCACATCCAAGTGATTGTTGCTCCTTTCAGAGTTGTCTCTTCAGGAGGCTACACACATGCTCCATTGATGTTCTCACTGCTCAAAATAATGTGGTAAACGACCTCTAGCAGTTTCCATCAGAGCCAGCTTTTCAGCCAAGTGAGAAAATTGTTTTTGAGACATTTTTCATATCCTCGTTTTTGAATACCAAATGGTATCCCAAGTGTGACCACCATCGTTTTTTTTGCGGGGGGGGGGGCGGTTGTTTTAAACCAGTTGAAATTCCAGATAACTTCTAGTGATATCCAGAAGTGATAGTCACCCTTGGAGGGACCTAAGAGACCATGACCCATGCTGAAGAGATTCAGAGGAACATCCTCTGAATGCAGATCTTGTTACTTGGCCAGGTGGGTAGCTGTGTGCGCCTTGTTCTTTCAGAGTCAGGTCAGGGACTGCTAGGTAATGGTTGAGTCTTTTGCTTGAGTGGGGAGTCCTGGTGAAGACACGCTCCCTGTTTGTAGAGATGACATGGTCCCCTCTCTGGGGCAAATTTAGTTTGGACTTCAGTCCTGTCTGCTAATAAGGCAGCTTTATCTGGATGTTGCTGAGCAGAGGTCTCTATAGTCATGGAGAATGAAGTTGTCTTCATGTGTTTCTCCCTGTCCTCACCCCGCCACCCCTGTCCCATCCCTCACTAATGTTCAGTGTTGGGGCCACAAACTGTCCTTTTCCAGCTGAAATCTGTTCATACCTGGCTCTCCAGGTGGTAGTCGTACCTTCTTTCCTCACCTACCCAAGGCTGCAAGGAAGTCATCTTTCTTCCTGCACTTGTGGCTAGAGGAGCTCCCCGGCCAGCCAGCATCCCAGAAGCTAGTGTAGGGAGGGGTTAGAATACAGGAAGATGACTACAGTTAGAGCTCAAGATTGTAAGGTGCAGAAATGGCAAAAGTGGTGGGCATCTGTCCCGGATTTCCTGAGCAATCACAAATCCAGATACTCTCTTCTTTGTCTCACAGAGTAGTGATGGCATATCTAGTTGATGGAATGTGATGCAGTCATTTAAAATGACATGGATGAGTTTAAAAGAAAGGAGAGGGACTTCCCTGGTGGTCCAGTGGGTAAGACTGTATGCTCCCAATGCAGGGGGCCCGGGTTCAATCACTGGTCAGGGTAGTAGATCCCCCATGCCGCACCTAAGGGCCCGCGTGCTGCGACTAAAGATTCCACATGCCGCAACTAAGACCTGTTGCAGCCAAATAAATAAATAAATAGTTTTTTAAAAAAGAAGAAGAAGGGCTTCCCTGGTGGCGCAGTGGTTGAGAGTCCGCCTGCCGATGCAGGGGACGCGGGTTCGTGCCCCGGTCCGGGAGGATCCCACATGCCGCGGAGCGGCTGGGCCCGTGAGCCATGGCCGCTGAGCCTGCGCGGCCGGAACCCGTGCTCCGCAACGGGAGAGGCCACAACGGTGAGAGGCCCGCGTACCGCAAAAAAAAAAAAAAGAAAAGAAGAAAGGAGAAGATGTTTATATTACGATAAGTTTAAAAATCAACATGCCAAATCGTAAACACAGTATGGTCGCAATGATATAAAAGCAAAAAAGCACACATCCCCCCCCCCAAAAACACAGGCATATAAAAAAGAATGAAAGTAAATATACCAAGTATTAAAAATGACTTTTCTGTGGGTAACAGGACTATGATGATTTTTTTCTTTCGTTTTAGCTTTTTTTTTTAATATTTCTCAAGTATTCTGTAATAACTGTCATATCAGTGTCTTAAATGGGAGCCAATTAAACTTGATAAAATCCCAAACAAACCTTTCTTACTGTTGGACTTTGTGTCCTGAATTTTGGCTTAGAGATACAGCTGCCGTGACTGAGATAACCTGAGAACCCTTCTTCCTTGTCTCAACCTCTGTAAATCTGAAGTCAGGCAAGACCAGGTTCCAGGAGGATGTTTCGGGCATAGTTCTGTCTGGAGGCAGGGGCTGGACAAGGCAGCCTCTCAGAGCCCCTTCCCACCCCCGGTTGGCGATTATCTGTGCTGCACACAGCTTCTGCCAACACTGAGCGGACTCTAAGTGTGGTGACATTCTCTGAGTGGGGTGCAGTAACAAAAGTCTGGCTGGGATGGAGGCCGGGGGCGGGGAATCTGGAGTGAGTGCCTGAGCTGACAAGGAGCCAGTGATCCTTCTGCCTGGTGGAACTTGCACCTCCAGCTGCCAAGCATCCGGCAGGGCCCAGACGCTTGGAAAGCTGGTGCCCGCTGCAGTGGTCCTGCTGCTGGCACAGCTCAGAGAGCACGGGGGTCACAGCTGCTTCCGCGAAGGACTTCCCTAATGGTACAGGGTGTCAGGTCACTGTCTTGGGGTGTGGGAAGGATCACTTATCCTTTGAGCAGCAGTGGTTTTGAAGGAAGCAGCGTGTCTCCAGGGTGGAAACTAGGATTTTCCCTCGTAGCACCTGTGTAAAAGTGAGCCTGGCAAACAGACATCCACAGCGTGTCTTCCTCAGCTGTGTCTTGCCTGGATCCTCCATCTCCATCTACTCAGGGCCCTGGCCCAGGCCTCCAAATCGGATTTTCTCCACTCCTCAAGCCAAAAGCCTCAGTTTACTGTAGCTACCTGGATCCTGTTGCCCATCAGAGCAGCAGACAACCCAGCCATAGAATGCTGGGACTTACACTTTGAGGAAAGCTTACAGATCCTAGAGTTAGCAGGGTCTAGGAATCAAGCATTGAGCTGTTTAAGGATAGGGATTGGATTGTGTGGAGTCATCTGCTGCCGCTGCTGCTTTGAAAGACTCTGGCAAATGCTGGGGCTCCGTGGAGGCAGGTAAGAAGGGTTCTCTGTGATGGCTCTTAAGTGCTATACCATGATGTTCCCAGGGCGCTGGCCCTCCCAGGGCAGGTGGACCTTCTTGGTGGGACGCATGATGTTGCTGGATGCTGATGGGGACACATCAAGGGAAACTTCACTGGGGATGCAGGCATGCTTCATTTCTTCGTGCTCTCCAGGCATGGCACAAGGGGTTAATATCTTCAGTGGCTCTATTTTGGGGCTAATGGAGTGTTCCTAGAATAAGACTCTTTGTTGAGTAATCTATTTTGGGAGGCAAGCCCCACTGGCATTTATATAAGCGATTCTGTGTATATGGGGGTGTGGATGTGTGCGCAAGTGGTTTCTTGTTACTAATTAGAAACAGCTTCTTTTGGGAGCCAGGGGAAATGGAGGTGTGTGTGTGTGTGTGTGTGTGTGTGTGTGTGTGTGTAAGGATTGCTTTTGCTGTAAAGAGTGGGGTAAACCGTGTGTGCCCATCTAATGGGGCAGTTGCCACAAACACCCGAGTAAGAAAATAAAGGTGGGGACCTTGGGACAGCAGGCAGCAGTGACCTGGCCCCTTCGTGGGGTGTCAGGCTGTGGAGATTGCCCATCTGTCATGCTCTTGATTCCCTGAAGCACGTGGGTAGGCTGGGTGTTGTGGCCCTCTAACGGCAGTCTGGAGTTAGGTGGTGTCTAGAAGATCTGTCCTGGGCTGTTTAAGGTCCATCAACCAGTTCTAACCTGAAATAAATCTCAGATTCCACTTCCCATTGCGGCCTGGCCACTTAATCACTGGATTCCCTTCTGTCCCCCCACAGGCCAAATCCACATATGTCGAAGCAAGACAGAAACCAAAGACCGTCCAGCATGGTCAGTGAAACGTCCACGGCCGGGACCACTTCGACCGTGGAGGCCAAGCCTGGCCCCAAGGTGAGCTCCTGGCCACTTCCCCTCTTCTGCATTTTGCCAGGCCCACTTTGTAGCCAGAAACCCGTTTGATCTTCACCATAGTTTTGTGAGGGAGACACGTAATAAGTATTCTCCCCAGATGACAGATCAGGAAATTGAGGCCAGTTGGGGTTATGTCACATGTCCAAGGAAACAGGTGATTGCTGACAGAACCAGGACTGACATCTACGGCCTTGGCCGCATTCTTCATTTTCCTGTCGTGTCTTTGGAGGGCCACACCTCTGTTCACATGTGTGTCAAAGACCGCATGGTGAGATTCACAATAGAAGGGCCCAGAGGTTTCTGTGCCCACGATATGGAAGCACTGACTGAGGAGCAGGGAAGAGAACCAGCATTGTAGAGAAGGGGAGGGTGCTGAGGAGTGAACCAGACAGGAGGGATTGGCAAATTCTGTGACCAGAGTGTAGCATTGCTCCAGAAAGCCATAGGACATATTAACGGCCAGAAGCTGCTGGTGGAAGTTGATTGAAAAATCCCTTTACGTTTTTTTTCCTCTGTGACCCAAACAGGAAGCTTGCTAGCTCTTGTACCCACGTTTTAACTAGGAGGCTGTGGCCATGTGCACGCCCTTTCTCTGTCTTCTTGCTGTTCTTTTGATGAGAGGGCACTGCTGCATGGATGACGGCACGGGGAGCCTACAGCCCTCCTATCACGCAGATGCTTTTTGGGCCTCCCCAAATCCCCCCTGCTGCTAGAGTTCAAGTCTGCTCTTTCCTAGATAATAAAGTCCAGCAGTAAAGTCCACAGCTTTGGGAAGAGGGACCAAGCCATTCGGAGGAACCCCAATGTTCCGGTGGTGGTGAGGGGCTGGTTGCACAAGCAGGTGAGGAGACTGAGGAGGGAGGGGTGGCAGGGAGGTAGTTCTTGCTGAATTCCTTCCTTATCCTGACCCCCGGGAACTGGGAATAGGCTTATAATAAGCTTTCTGTTCCTGAGTTTGTCTGGGGCCAGTAGATTCTGCCCACTGTGCTGAGCGGCTTGCTGTTCGTTTTTGTGAGTCAGCAGTCTGCTCAGTGGCTGCAGTTTCCTTCCCCAAACCCACTTAACCGCTTTGGTTCCCAGTGCTCTTGGCTGTCCTGGGACTCGGTCCCAAGTGTGGGTGGGTCAGTATGAATCCAGCCTTACCGCCCATCCTCTGCCAGCACTTGCCTTCCTGATGTGAAAGAGCCTTTGTTATCATTTGCCTGAAAAATCCCATCTTTTCCTTTCCCCCAGTCTAACACACACACCTAGCATCCTAGCACCGCAGGTTCCAAATCAGCCAAACTCAGCTCATTGTCTCCTCACCCCTTACCTGTCTTTTTCCCCTAAACTGTTTCTTCTGGATCTTGGTGGGGTACCACCATTTCCCCAGGCACCCAGGTTAGAAACTTCAGCACCATCACCAGCTCCTTCTCCCACAGGCCATCCGTCATCGCTAGCTCCACCACGCTTCCCCACAACTTCACCAGAGGCAGTTGTTCTGCCTCTGGTCCTCTGGCCTTGGATAGGCTGTGAGCTCCCAGGGTCAGAGAACACATCTCTTTTGTCTCCTTCCTTCTCTTCTCGCCATCCATCCATTCATCTACCCACCCACCCACCAAGTGCCTGCCGTGTTCTAAGTGCTCTCACAGCAACGACAAAGAGATGAGTAACATGTGGTTCCCGCCCTTGAGGAACTCATGTCGTAGTCTGCAGGGGGAAACATAGAAACACCTCTCACGTGTCATGTCATCACCCAGCACAGTCTCTCACATAGCATATTATCCAAAAAAACACAAATTCTGAGAGCAATGATGTACATTTTTACTAAAGACTTTGTGGGAAAACAGAGGAAGACATTACCTTTCACACCACACAGAATAAATTCCTAAATGTCCCCTTGAAATCTCCCACAGCTCTCCAGCCTGTTCTGGCTGGTACTCCTCTGGCACCACCCTCTCTTAATGGTTCCCTCTTCCCTCACAGCTCTGTTCTCATTCTCTTTTCTTACCTGAGTAATCTAACCCTCTGACTTTTTCCACTTGCATCCCCGTCTCCGTTAAACAAAAGGATGCTCCTTTGAAATGTGGAGGTAGAGGGAAGGTATTGTAAATAATCCTTCTCCCCAACAGACACCCCCTGGCCCAGGCCCCTCGGCTCCTTGGCTGTAGCTGTGACCAAGGTCTGTGTACAGTGCTGTGGGCACACAGCAGAGAGAATGTAGCTATGCTTGGGGGCGTCCTGAAAGGCTTTCCAGAGGAAATGACATTTGAAGCAGATGTGGAAGGATGGAGAACAGCTTTTCGAACAAAGCAAGTATCATATGTGCCAGATCATCCGGTGAATGCACAAGATAAAAGCAAGAAACGCAGGAGCTTAGCAAGTGTTTAACACTTTAGTAAATGGAGAATGAATAAATTTTTTAAAAATTTAAGCCTGTCAAAAACTTTTGCAGAAGGAAGACAATTTTAACAGCTAAAAATGGCTCTGGAATTTTCCTAGGTTTGGGAGAAAACTGACCCTAAAACGACTATTTTCCTACCATAGCCATATTTTAAAAAAATTTTCACAAGAAAATCCAGGTCTTTTTCTGTTGAAGGGAAGGAAAAACACAGCAAAATCAGTCCTTTGTGGTAGATAACTGAACTTAGTCAAATGAGAACTTTGCCTCATTGATTAATTAGCTAACTTAAACTCTTTGTTTCATACTATGTAAACCAATTTTCTAATCAGTATAAGTGAAGGTATTTTACAGTGTAGCACCTGAATCAGTGAATGAAGGAAGGAAGGAAGGAATAAATAAATAACTTCCCTTTTGTTAAAAACTGATTTCTTTCTTAGTGGATGAAGTGTATTTTTGGGTTTTTTTGGCCACGCTGCGCGACATGTGGGAGTTCCCCAACCAGGGATTGAACCCGCGCCCCTTTTAGTGGAAGCGTGGAATCTTAACCACTGGACTGCCAGGGAAGCCCAAGAACTGTATTTTTGAATTCATATCTTCCTTTCTAAAAGGAGGATGCTTATGATATACTAGTCTGTTTATAGGAAACAAAACTTCCTGGGGATAAACCATCATTGGATCTAAATTTTAATGTCCTATTGAAAGAATGGCTATGCAGTAAAAACTTATTAATTTATTTCGGGCTTCCCTGGTGGCACAGTGGTTGAGAGTCCGCCTGCCAATGCAGGGGACACGGGTTCGTGCCCCGGTCCGGGAAGATCCCACGTGCCGCAGAGCGGCTGGGCCCGTGAGCCATGGCCGCTGAGCCTGCGCATCCAGAGCCTGTGCTCCGCAACGGGAGAGGCCATAACAGTGAGAGGCCCGCGTACCGCAAAAAAAACAGAAAACAAAAACAAAAAAACTTATTAATTTATTGAAAGAAAGAGTGAATATGGGCAAGTCTCGGTTCCAGAATCAGGTTGTACATGACTGGGGAGGGGGAACAGTATGCTCAGATATTGCCCTGATTAGTTTCCTTTGCTTTGCAGGACAGTTCTGGGATGAGGCTGTGGAAGAGGAGGTGGTTTGTGCTTGCTGATTATTGCTTGTTTTACTATAAAGGTGAGCTGAGGCTCAGGCCACCAAGGGGTCTTTGTGCCAGAGGGGGTGGTGAGGTCATGCAAATGGTGGTCTTCTCAAATCCAGTGAATGGACCAGTGGCCTGAGCTAATTGATAACCTGTTAACCTGCCAAAGTGTTCACTTTTACATATGTGTATGGTTGGTGATTTCATTTTTATCAGTCCCAGCACTGGAAGTGCCATTTGTTGAGTTAAAATAATAGAATCTGGTTTGCCTTCCACTTAAGGTCTCAAGATCTGGAGGTTTTCCAGCTTCTGCCCCACTTGGGGCACAGGCACACCTTTGATTCAATCTGGAGAGATGGGAAGTATAGGTGAACATTATATTTTGTAACCTGTTATCTGGATTTATCCCCTGTTATTGGATGGGCAACTGGTGAATTAAATTGGCCACATGAACATTTGTGGAGCCCCAGTACATAGAATTAGGGGCTGTGCAAAGGTGAGAAGAAAGTAAGGCTCAAAATATGGAGGGAGAGATATAGCCTAATTTTAAGACAAGACTAGGTTTTGGAAGACGTCCAAAGTGCTTAGGCAGTTCAAGAGGAACAAGAAGCCAATTCCATATTGGAGAACTTGGGCAGGCTCCTCAGGAGAATTAGGGCTCGAGTTGGGCTTTTTAGGATGGGTAGAGCTTTGCCCATGTGTAGGGGGAAGATGGGCATTTAGGCAGAAGAAACAACTTGATTAAAGTTCTAGAAGCAGAAGAAAGTGGAATGACAGACCTGCAAAGCCAGAGTGAGTCTTGCATGGGGCACACACTAGGAGATAAGGCTCAGGAGGTGGGTAAGAGCCCAAATGCAAAAGGGCTGTGACACTAGACAGAGGAAGTTGGGCTTCATTCTGTATCCAGTGGACAGTCAGCAAGTGCCTTTGGGTGGGAGAGCAGTGGGACCAATTCTGTCATTAGGAAGTTACCTCTGGTAACGAAGACGGTTTGGGGGAGGAAGAGAATAGACAAGAAAGGTAGGATATTTCACACCTGCTCTAACATTGCCTATGAGGTGTGTACCACCCAGAATTCCCTTCCCCATCCTTTACAAAAGTTTAAATATAACCTTCTGAAGCCTTCTCCACTTCCCCAGGCTGTGTGCCACTCCTGTCTGTGTGTTCCCGCAGCACTTGGTACGCCTCTGTGTTTCAGGAGTTAGCAGGTCGAGCTGAGCGTGTTTACATGCCTGTCCCCCTCCTCGGGGAGAGGGCCCTGTCTGATTCAGCTGTGTAGTTCCAGCACTAGCACAAAGGTCCCCAGAGCACCTGAATGGGCGATCCGTGATTGCTGTCACCCTGGGAGAGATAAGGAGCCTTGAACTAGGGCAGTGGGATGGACCAGCCCAAGGAAGGTGCCACAGAAGGTTATTCTGATTTGTATTTCCGTTCAAAGACAGCCGAGAAGAAGTGGTCCTTGGGAGCATCCCTCTGCCCAGCTACGTGATCTCAACAGTGGCCCCCGAGGATCGCATAAGTCGCAAGTATTCCTTTAAGGTACTGCCCCCCCCGCCCCCCACCGCTCCTCCAGTGCAGCAGTTCCATCCTCAGAAATGTTGTGTTCCCCAAAACGGCTTCACAAAAGCAGTTGTTTCTGTTGGGGGTTGGGGGGAAGAAGTTAAGAGGTTGAGCGTTTCAGACTCATGTTAACAAAGTTATAAATTCTTGAAACAAGAATAATGTCACATCACAGTACTTTCATTTGTATCTTAGCTTTCGAGTCCCCCAGCCTTGCTTAAGTACGTAGACCCCTCTTTTCCTGTCGCTATTTCTGTGACTAGTATCAGCACAGCCCTTCTCATGCTTTCTTACCACCGTCACTGTCCCCGGTGACTCCAGAGTTGCTGTGGGTTGAAGATTCTGGATCCTCCTTCACTTCATGTTGCATGATATGGTATTGCCTTATTTCTGTAAAAACCTTTTGTGACTGAGAACTACTTTTATCCATGTTACCTCATTTGGTGTTTGTGGGGAGCCTGTGAGGTCAGAATCATTAGCTTCATTTTATAGATTAGGAACACGAGGATCAGAGAGCTGAAAAAACTTGCCCACAGTCCCAAAGTTGGAAGATGATGGAAGCAGATCTCCACCCTGAACTCTGTCCTCTTTCAGTTGCATTACAGGGAGGGAGGACAATTTCTTTCTCTTCTTCTCTGCTTTTCTTCCATGTCTTACTCTGGTCACCCGTATACACATTGCAGGAGGTGGGAGGTGGTTTCAATTAATGTTTATTGTTATCATTTTAGGAATACTGTTCTATTAAATTGTTCAGAGCCTCTCGCTTATTGTTGGCTCTGAAAACATTTTGTTCGATGAGTGTCACACTGGTCTTTTGCAGCCTGAAAGCCTTCCTCAGAAAAACCTTCCTTTCTAGGGTTCAGTGTTGCTACTGGGCAAACAATTGGGATAACGCTGTTGCATGTGAATTTGGTGGGGGGGGGGGGCGACAGCGTTTGGGATATCCTCAGAGTAACGGATTATAATAACTATATATAGTTCATCTTAACACTTTGTTGGGAGGTGTGAAAATACATTCTAGGAAAACATCTTTTATGTGTCATACATTCTTTTTTTTTCTTTCTTTTTTTAATAGGCTTCACCAAGAGTGTTCCCTAAATATTTTTTTCTGGGAGACGGAAGGCATGCATGTTTGGGGGGATGATTGGGGTCTTCAGGGTCTGAGAAGGGAGAAAAGCTATTGCAGACAGAATGGGTGATGTTCAGGTGGTTCTCCAGACAGGGCTGTGATTTCCTGAGTGTGAAAGACTTCCCTTTCCTTTGGGTTGCAGTGTCATTCTTTTAGGAACCTGAGGATGGGCCCTGGGACAGTTCAGGATCCATGTTCTTGGGCCTACTGAGGAGTGTGCAGTATTTTGTGTCCTGGGCCTTATGCTTGCCTCTGATGTCAGTTCTTCTCAGTTTGCAGAGCTGAAATTCTCTGACTGTTGCTAGGGCACCTTGCCTGAGATTGTTCCTAGTATCTGTAGTGGTACATAGGCAGAGCCTAAAGGGCTATGTGGTCTTCTCTTGTCTGTCTTCTCTAACTGTACTGTCAGCCAGGCAGCTCCTAGGCATTGTCAGGGAGCCAGGGTGCTAGATGCACCCTGAGGCTCCGCTAGGTCTGCAGGACGAGCCAAGCAGGGCTCTCGGTGGCCTTTAGGAGCCATCGTTCCCCCCCCCACCCCCACCCCCCTTGAGCTTTAGTCACAGCCTGGAATGCCCTGAAGAGTTCCCCAGCCTTACTTACTTGTCCTTTAGGTGTCTGCTCAGGGGCCACCTCCTCCAGGAAGCCTTCCTTAAGTCCTCGGGTTAGGTACTTTTCTTCTGAACATCCACAGGTCTGGTATCACTGCACTATAAGTGGTTGACTAACCATTCAGAGCTTTCTGCAGGAAAACTAACCATCAGCTAGTTCTGCCAGGGTAGATGGGGCTAGTCCCATTCTGCAAACAGGTAACATGGAGCAGTCATTTGTAGTAGGAGTTGTGGTGAATGACACTCCTTATACTTCCCAAGTTAAGGTCGGTTCAGGCTTACTTCTGTTTCATGTTTAGTCCTCTGTAAGTCAGTGATTATTCACTGTATCACCTTAGCTTACTCAAGTAAATGCCTGCCCCAGAACCCGCTGTGGAACCCTTAGCTGCAGGCCGAGTTTGCCTAGACTTCCTTGGCACTGGGCTGGATGGATTCAGATATGTGAATGTCACAAGCAGGCCCGTATTTAATATCGTTTTTGGACCTGGATGTTAGGCATGTGAGTGGAGAAGTGAATGCTGACAGTTCATCTGAGAGGTTTTATCCATGACCATTGGTGATTTTAGAAACATGTCATTTTCCAGGTTCTGTTTAGTTCTCTCATTTTGCTTTCTCTGACTGGTCCTTGCATGGCATCTGTCTGTCATTCTGGATCCAGATTATCAGACTAGTGATCTGTATCAGACTCATATCTGGATAGAGCCTGAGAGCACTATCAGGCTCTCACTATCTCACTACAGAGAAGATTGGACTCAGAGTCAGACATTCCTAGGTGTGAATCCTGCCTCCAACTTTTCATTCATTCAAAAAATATTTATTGGGCTTCCCTGGTGGTGCAGTGGTTGAGAGTCCGCCTGCCGGTGCAGGGGACACGGGTTCGTGCTCCGGTCCGGGAAGATCCCACATGCCGCGGAGCGGCTGGGCCCATGAGCCATGGCCGCTGAGCCTGCGCGTCCACAGCCTGTGCTCCGCAACGGGAGGGGCCACAGCAGTGAGAGGCCCGCGTACTGTAAAACAAAACAAAACAAACAAACAAACAAACAAACAAAAATATATATATATTTATTGGGCACCTACTATGTACCAGGCACTGTTCCTGGGGATATAGTAGTGAACAAAATAGACAGAATCCCTGCTCTCATCGAGTTTATATTCTGCAGGGAAGAGACAGATGATAAACAAGCGTGTAAAATAAAGAATACCAGGTAATAGGTGCTGTGAAGAATCTGTGACCAAGAGTGGAAATCTAGGAAAGTTACTTAACTTCTCAGAGCTTCACTTACCACATCTGTGAAAGAGATTCTGTTCCTTCCTTATAAGGCTGTTAGGATTAAGATGAGATTAAAGTCACGGAAGTACCTAGGAGACACATAGTAGGCACTCTGTAAATCTTCCTATTTCCACATCATTTTCCTATGTGGATTTGGTGAGCTTTTTCCTTGCAAATTTAAAGGACCTTGCTTATCAGAGCACAAGGGGGAAAACCTCTTGTTCGCAGTCCATTGCAGTTGCTTTTCCCCATACCTGTGGAACATGTGAAAGCACCTTGATGCTTCCTGACGTATAGTAGGTGCGCCAGGGTCTTCAGTCAAGTGTTAGACTGCTCAGCTGAACTTTGTATTGCCTCTTTGGCGAGACAAAAGAGCAGCTTCCTTGATGGGCATACATCATGTTTCATGCCCAAGCAGGAAGCAGAGTGAATATCTGCACCGAGCTGCCTGCTGTTGAGCAGCTGATTTTTGAATCAGTTCCAGTCAGCAGGTGCTTCAGAAGAACCAAAACAGGGATTCCCGAGAGTCTGCTTCTATGGAATGAGGGTTTTTAAAAAAAATCTCTTTCTCAAATAAACCTTGGATTGACTGTGTGCCCCTCCCTAAGTGGGAGTAAGATAAGTAGGAAACAGGTACAGCTGCGGGGCTTTTGCTGTGGGGAACAGGCACAGCTGTTCCTAGGCCTGGCTTCACCAAGAAAAGGGAATCCAGCCTGTGACGTTTTTTCCAGGTGTGGAAATAAGCTGGGTGGTGCGTGGGCTTTTAGTCTGGAAGAAGGGAGAACCTGGCCGGGGCGTTTCTGGTTTTTGCTCCTGGAAGTGAGACGCGCGCTAACCTCTCTGACCTGGGTTTCCGTCTTCTCCCTCCAGGCCGTGCACATGGGGATGCGAGCCCTCATCTATAATAGCTCCACCAGGGGCTCTCAGGCTGAGCAGTCAGGCATGAGGACCTACTACTTCAGTGCCGACACCCAGGAGGACATGAACGCTTGGGTCAGGGCCATGAACCAGGCTGCACAGGTGCTATCTCGATCGTCACTGAAGAGGTCAGTCCCCATGGAGGGTCCCTGCCAGAGAGCTTCCTACACAGGCGGGGGAACCCAAATAAGAACTCTTGGATGCCCAGAATTCCACCGTTCACTCACTCTTGTTAAGCATTGCCCTCTCTTTGAAGTCCTTTTAAATGGTGACTTCCTCCAGGAGGAGACTGTTTACAGGGCCAGCACATGCTGCAGGCAGAGCTGGAAGGTCCCGTAGGAATTATCTAGTCCACTGTCCTCATTAAACAGAGAAACAGGAAGGCCTGGGAGGGTGAAATGACTGCCTGGGATACACAGCCTTGGTACCTGGTTGTATGTTTCTCAGTCTTTCTTCTCTTGTGTGTGGTGGAAGGGAAAACCTTGGGGCTAAGATTGGGGAGGAGGGAGCGGACAGACAAGAAAGATCTTGCAAACTGGAAACATGCCATCGACGGCCCACCTTGTTGTTGGGAGCTGACTTGGGAGCTGTCTTCCAGCTGCCTCTTCCCTCGAGTGGGCCAACCAGGGTACCATCAGGGATCTTGAAGTTCCTGAGTCTGTTGACTGTGGGTGATTCCCTGTGAGAAAGCAGAGGAGAAACATGAGTGGAGTCATGGGCGTGGAGAAGGTGGGGTAGTCCTGGAAAGTCTGGGTGCCTTTAGCCAGTCCTCATCTGACATGAGCCCCGTTCTTCACTCTCTGGACACCTTGCTCTGCTTAGAGGCCTCTTTGACAAAGATCTGCTAGTGAGGCCTCAAAACAAGAGTAGTGTTCTCCAGCAACCTAAAGGCAAGATTCTTCGGTAACTGCAAGTGGGTTTCACGCGGATGTTTTTATATTGTCCACCTTTTCCAACTCATGTGTATGCGATTTTTGGTGTTAGTGGTACTTCCTAGCTTCATGATATCTTTCCTGAGACGATCAGACCTTTGATATAGATAGTGACCTCCCTCAAGAGGCCAGGTTGGGGTCAGGCTCTACCCTTGGAGCTTCCTAGCAACTCAGTCGAGCATTTGTCATGCTGGGTTTTTTTTTCTATTTTTCAGTATCCTAGGCTTCCAGTGGGAATCATCTTTGTATATTCTGCACACCTAACATATAGTAAGCTCTCAAGTGTCTGTTGAGTGAGTAAGTGAGAGATAGGAAGAATGAATGAATACATTGAACAGAACAGGACCAAAGACTGTCCTGGAGGTTTCCCCGTGGGCCCTGAATCAGTAACTCTTAACTACAGGTATTCAGTCAGGTTTGCCCCTGCTTCTTAGCATTGTCATCCAGCCTGAATTTTTCTGTTGTGTCCATAATGATGATATGAGAGCCTGTGCCATTAACCTGCAGGTACTCTGTTCATAGTGACATTGGCATTTCTGCCTTCATCCTAGGAGAAGGAAACTGGGCAGGTTTGACACGACTTACTCCTAGTGTACATGCTCACTGTTTCCTAGTTTTTGTTGTTCATTCTTTTTTAAAAAAATAATTTTTATTTATTTATTTATACATACATACGTACATACGTACCATAAGTGAAGACATTCCCTGGCGGTCCAGTGGTTAAGACTCCACACTGCCAATGCAGGGGGCACAGGTTCGATCCCCGGTCGGGGAACTAAGATCCCACATGCCACGTGGCACGGCCAAAAAAAAAAAAAAAAAAAAATCAGCACAATAAAGGCAAGAAAAATTAACAATTAAAAAAAATGCAGAAAGAAAAGAGAACTATCCTTGGTCACCTTCCCAGGGTTACCTCTGTTACCAAGTTAACAGGGATCCTTTTAAACTATTTTCTATTCATATATGTGCTTATATAAATATAGAGGGTATTTTGTGCTTTTTTTTATAGCATGAATGATATTAATCTTGAGTCATTCTGTATCGGTGTATATGGGCTACCTTTATTTTTGACTGTTGTATGGTACTTCATAAGGTAGAGGTACCATAATGTATTTTTAAGCATGTGCCATATCTTGGATAGTTTATTTTTTGTCCTCTTTTACTGTTGTAGGTAGTTGAGTAATGAAAAACTTTCTACAAGCCTCTGCGTGTGTGAGGCTTTCAGATTGCTAGGTCAATATACAATGCATTTTTAATTTTAATCAATACCACCAAACTGTCCTTTAAAGAAAGCTGTATATTCCACTAGTGAGAGCGCTCATTTCCCCACATCTTTGCCAACAGTTGATATTATCAATCTTTTTCATTTTTGCTGAGCTGCTGTGTAGGTAAACGGTATCTGGTTATTTAATGTGTATTTTCATGATGGTAGGGACCTTTTATATTTATTGACCACTTGTATTTCCTCTGCACTGAATTGCCGGTACCTATTCTCTGCCCATTTTCCTACCAAGTTGCTTGCTTTTCCTCGGTGCTTCCTTTCCTACATGTGCTGATATCTGCCCAGTTAGGAATGCAGCTTAGCCTATTGCAGAGGTTGTTTATAGGCTCTCCAGTCTTGTTATTTAGTCTGTAATATTCTGGCATTTTCCCTGTTCTCTTGGATTCCTCAGAGATCACCTGAGAGGTTTCTTGAGCCCATCTCCGAGTTCCCTTAGGGCCCTGGTGTGCTAACAGCTGGGCCTTTTCCATCTTCCTCCCCACCTTGGTCTTTCAGTCTCTCTTAACCAAGGTTGTTCTCTTATTCATGATGAAGTTCATTCATCTTGATGAAGATAAGGAACTAAATCCAGAAGTTGAAGAATTCAACTTTATTTGTGCTGTGGTCATCTTCCCAAGCAGAGATACCTATGCCTCATATTTTTTTAAAAGTTCTCCCCTTCTTTATTTTAATTCTTAGAAAATAGAAAATTTTGTTTTATTTTACTTTGCTTCAAATAAAGAAACCTCAGTCCCTTCTAGACTTTACCATTTCTGTAGTCATGCATGTAGGCCCATTCCACTGGATTTGTATTTTATCTCTGCTTGATGCATTTCTTGTGTCCTTCTATAACGTGAGCTCTGAGAGCTCCCTGTGTTTTTACATTGGTTTCTTTCTACCAGCAATGTTTAATGGGTTCTTTCTTGTGTCCCAGCTTTGCTCAGTTCTTCGTGCCTGACTAGGGCACTGGGTCAAAGATAACTTGAGAATGAGATCAGGCTTAATAGGAAAAAGTGCTGTGATTGATAAGTGATGTCTGCCTTGAACCGTTCAGGATGAATTTGCTAGCTGAGATTAGGATTTTTTTGTTGTTGTTTTTTTACTTTTTCCTACCTGAAGATTTTGTAATTAACTATAAGATTTTGGTTTTAGAGGGGCTCCTTCCCTTCTCCACTGGGCTGCCTTCCAGATCTCAGGCCATATGTATAGTCCCTAGCTTTTCTCTGAACTTTTTTTTTTTTTGCGGTGCACGGGGCTCTCACTGCTGTGGCCTCTCCCGTTGCGGAACACAGGCTCCGGACGTGCAGGCTCAGCGGCCATGGCTCACGGGCCTAGCCCCTCCATGGCATGTGGGATCCTCCTGGACCAGGGCACAAAATGTGGGATCTTCCCGGACCGGGGCACGAACCCCTGTCCCCTGCATTGGCAGGCGGACTCTCAACAACTGCGCCACCAGGGAAGCCCCTGAACTTTTAAAATGTGTTCTTACTATGCTCTTAATAAACTCTTAAAATCCCATAATCATCTTTGCCCAAGGTTTCTTCCCCATTTAAAAAAAAAAAAAAAAACTTGTTATACCTTCTGCCGCAGACGAAAAGCAGAATAACATTTCCTCTTAATTTTCTGAGAGATGAAATTGTCAGCCAAGGAAATTCAGACTTATTAAATGTTCTATTTTACCAGAATAAGATGGTCAGACATTTGGTTAGTTAGAAGTATTCATCATGCAGGACTACATCTTGCCTCTCCTCTACTTTGGTGATCTGCTCTGCAAAACCTCCGTCTCTGTTACGTGGGTGGCCCCAACCATAGCTCTTTGTTCTCTCCCTCCTTGTTTCTCACCCAAAAGCTTCTATCCTTATTCATACAGGCAAATGCTTTCTTTATGAATGTGGTACATTAGGACTTCTGACTGCAGGTAAAAGAAAATGCAAATTTACCTTAAAAGGGGAGGAATTTATTGATTCATTTCAATGAAAAGCTCAGGATAGCTTCTAGCTTTAGAAACAGTTGGGTTCAAGGCTCAGACAGTATCATTACAAGTGATTCTCTCAGGCTCTGCCTGCCTGGGCTGGATTCATTCTTTTTTTTTTTTTTTAATCTTTTTTTTTTTTTAGTCGTTGGGGATAGGAGTTTATTAATTAATTTATTTATTTTTCCTGTGTTGGGTCTTCGTTTCTATGCAAGGACTTTCTCTAGTTGTGGCAAGCGGGGGCCACTCTTCATCGTGGCACGCGGATCTCTCACTATCGCGGCCTCTCTTGTTGCGGAGCACAAGCTCCAGACGCGCAGGCTCAGTAGTTGTGGCTCACAGGCCTAGTTGCTCCGCGGCATGTGGGATCCTCCCAGACCGGGCTCGAACCCATGTCCTCTGCATTAGCAGGCAGATTCTCAACCGCTGCGCCACCAGGGAAGCCCTGGGCTGGATTCATTCTTAAACTCCATGTGGAGGTCCCTGGCATATCTAGGACCTGGTGGCTAGATAGCTGCAGTAGCCCCAGACTTGTGTTGTCCAAGGTAAGTTCAACAGGAAAGAGCCAGAGTCTTATCCAGAAGCTCTGAGGTCTTATTCTGATTAGACAGGCTTAGGTCACATTGATTCCCAAAATCACATACTGTGGCTAGGGAATGCATGTACTGATTGGCACAGACCTGGGATACATGCTTCACTTCTGAGAACTAGACCATGGGAACTGAGAGCCAAGTAGGGGTGGGTTCTCAAGTAATGCTAGAGTTATGGGCACAGGAAGGAGAAATGACTTGATGCCATGTGGTAAACGAGATGCAAGCAACCAAAATCCAGGCCACTTCCTACTGTATCAATTTCTTTTGCCTTAAGTACTAACTCCTCCCAGAGTTTAGTCTCTGAAGTTGGGTAGACCGGGGTTTAAATCCCAGCTTTACTACTTTCTAGCTGTGTCACTTGTGCAATTTA